TGTTGGAAACAATCAGTTACTACTATGAAAGAAATATAACTCAGATAGGAGTTACCTCTTGTCAAAGCAAACAAGTTGGCAAAATACAAACAAATAACATTTCTAAATGACTTTGAATACCATACCATACCATTTTATTTATAGAGCACTTTAAACAGCGACAAGGCCATCCAAAGTGCTGTACAAACAGAAAAAAACAGGTAAAGCACACAGCAACACATAACATAACATAAAATCTAAATATAGAAACAAAATAATAGCGAATAATAACATAATGATTAGCACAGTGTGATGCATACAGGTTCAGCAACAGATGTTGCCAGGGAATAATAGTAGGTTTTTAAGCAGGATTTAAAAACTGTGAGGGAAGGGGCATGTCTGACAAGTAGAGATAACTCATTCCATGACATTAGGATCACTGCAACAGCTCTAAGTTGGGTTGAATAATATTAATCTGATGGATTCCAGTTTTCTCATGTTAATATTGAACTTATTTCATATATCAGAGTTTATTAGTTTGCCAATGCTTGGACCAATACGCTTTACAGTACTTTATCTATGCTACCATAAGGTATACTTATTAGACAGCATTTATATTGTTATGCTGATGATACTCCATTATATTGACTGGATGTCTATTGACTATATTAATTCAATTCAATTCAGTTTATTTATTTAGCGACAAGTCACAGCAGAATTCTTCTCAGGGCACTGAACAGAAACATTCATATACATAAAAAGTAAGTTGACAACACTATATATCTGAGGAGCAGACGGCGTTGAATTTAACTTCATCACAAACTCTCATCCTGAGTAAGCATGAAGGCAACAGTAGAAAGGAAAAACTTACTCATGAGGAAGAAACCTTTAGCAGAACCAGGCTCAGGACAAGTTGGTTCCACAAGAGAGGAGACATAACTGAAAGCTCTACCTCCCATTCTGCTCTTGGAAAGTTTAGGAACCACAAGTAAGCCTGGAGTCTGAGAGCAAAGTGTTCTGTTGGGAAAATATGGAACAATAAGGTCTCGAATATAAGATGGAGCCAGGTTGTTGAGAGCTTTGTAGGTTAGAAGTAAGATTTTGAATTCAATTCTGAATTTGACAGGAAGTCACTGGAGAGAAGCTAAATCTGGAGCGATATGATCTCTCCTGTCAACTCCCGTTAAGACTACGGCAGCAGCATTTTGGATTAACTGAAGACTTTTGAAAGAAGTATTTGGACACTCAGATAATAAACCATTGCAATAGTCCAGTCTAGACGTGACAAATGCATGAACCAGGTTTTTCTGCATCATTTTTAAACAAGATGTTTCTAATTTTTGTGATATTACGCAGGTGGAAGAAGGCAGTTCTAGTAACATTTTTAATGTGGGGGATAAAAGACATGTCCTGATCAAAAATACCACTAAGATTTTTAACATTAGAACTGGAGGCAAGATTATTACCATCCAAGGAGGGTGAAAGACTGAAAAATTCATTCCTAAGATGCTCAGGTCCAAAAACCAAAACCTCAGTCTTGTCTGTATTCAAAAGCAGAGAATGGTCATCCAGATTTTTATGTCTTTAATACATGCTTGTAACTTAAGCAACTGATTGAATTCATTCAGTTTCATGGACAAATATAACTGTGTATCATCAGCATAACAATGAAAATGTATCCCATGCTGTTTAATAACCCTAATGGAAGCATATATAAGGTAAAGAGTATTGGTCCAAGCACTGAACCCTGGAGAACTCCATGACTAACATTGGTATATGAAGAATATTTATTTTTTATATTTACAAACTGGAATTTATCAGATAAATATGAATTAAACCAATTTAGAGCTGTTCCTGTAGTTCCAACATCATATTCAAGCCTCTGTAGTAGAATATTGTGATCATCTGTATCAAATGCAGCACTGAGGTCTAACAGGACCAGTATAGACACCTGTCCATTGTCAGAGGCGATGAGAATATCATTAATATCTTTCACCAGTGCTGCTTCTGTGCTATGGTGAGTTCTAAACCTTGTCTGAAACTCCTGAAATAGATTATTTCTTTGCAGATGTTCATGCAACTTACCTGCAACTTTTTTCACAAGAATTTTTTAGATTAAACTTAGATTAGATATAGGTATATTAACTGGTTCATACATGTATCACTTTTACGATGAATTGTTGCAAATGTTAATTATGAGAATGTTTTAATGAGTTTTATCTCCAGTTTTGGCTTCTCTTCACTGGCTTCCTGTACAATTCAGAATAGATTTTAAAATCACACAAAGCTTTCAACTAACAAGCTCCATCTTATTTTAAAGATCTGTTGTTTTACATCAGACTGCAGGTTTACTTGTGAATTTCCAAAAGTAGAATGGGTGGCAGAGCTTTCAGTTATCAGGCTCCTCTCTTGTTGAACCAACTTCCAGTTTCTGTCTGTGAGGCTGACACATTGTCTACTTGTCTTTCCTTTTTGATAAGTTCTATAGTCAAGGATATCTTGGGTTTCCTGAGCTAAATTATGCCATTTAGAGTTAGGCTTAAATTTCTGGAGGACATACTGATCACATTTCTTTACTCTGCTGCTGTCTTTACTCTCCATTTTTGTACATAAATACTGTATGTTGGTGCCATCAACATTATGTTGTGTTTTTCTGTGCATAGAAACTCCACCTGGACCCATCATTTTTTGTTTCTTTGTTCTGTCCTCTCAATTCCCAACCAGTCAAGACAGATGGTTACTCATCCTGAGCCTGTTTCTAGTTTTGCTGGAGGGTTTTTTTTTCTGTTGAAAGGGATTTTCTTTTTTCTACTGTCACCTCCACACTTCTTCAAATGGGGACTGTGACTAAGAGAAGATTCAAAACAATTTACTGGTTGGTCACAGAACTGATGTTCACTGCTGGAAAGGAAGTGTTTGAAGACCATTTGTAATAAGAAACTTAGTTGGATATCAAGCTGTGACTCATGCATTGACCTTTTCTTGTCACAGGTAAGATTTTATACAATGAATGTCATTTTGTAGTATAATGTGCTGATATATTGCAATCATAGTAAAGTCCATACAATGAGCACATTTGTTCTCTGCACTTGACCCTTCACAAAGTAAGATACACACAAATGGAGCAGTTATTATAGGCTCCTGGGGAGCAGTGAGGGAATCTGTGATTAGCTTAAGGACACCAAAACATATGGGCTTGTTGGGGAATCAATCCTGCAAATTTCCTTTGCCAAGACAGCTGCCCTGCCACTACGCCACAGCCACTCCAGGAACATAACACAATACAATTAAATTCATACATAGTGAGTACCATGTTATAACTACCTTTACTCCAGATCCGTTTTAAATTTAGATTTGTGAGTAGGACTTGTTAAATTTTGCTGTATAGTTTTTTTGAGACAACTTTTATTGTGAATTGGACAAACTGAATTTAAGTTAATTAAAAGCTTCCATTCACTGATCTAACACTTGGGGTTCAACATCCAGCTTTGAGACAGATGAGTTTAACTATTGAACCCTTTTGTACTCACATTATTTACATAAATAAAAGGGTAAGTCTTTGCAGGAGAGACTCGAAGTAGAACCGCTGCTCCTCCACATCGAGAGGAGCTGGTTGAGGTGGTTCATGCATCTGGTAAGGACGTTTCCTGGGCCTCTCCGTAGGGAGGTGCTTTGGGCATGTCCTACCAGGAGAAGACCCTGGGGAAGATCCAGGACACGCTGGACAGACTACGTCTCTCAGTTGGCCTGGGAACGGCTTGGGATCCTCCCAGAAGAGCTGGAAAAGATGACTGTGGAAAGAGATATCTGGGCCTCCCTTCTAAAGCTGCTGCCCCCACAACCCAACTTCTGAACAAGTGGAAGATAATGGATAGATGGATGGAGCTTCAGCCACAGTAGTCATGATACAAACACATCATCTGGAGAGTGTAAGACTGATTAAACTTAAATTCTGATGCAATGAAATTCAGCAGCAACTTTTAATATGTTGATGCTGAAGTGCAAATCATTCTCATGACTGAGTATTATACTAAGATCAACTTGTGCTGAGAAATGAAGGAGCTGTTTTCTTAAAAAAATATATATATATTTTTTTGTGAAATGTTATGCAAAATTGCACAACAATACTGTTAAAAATTACTTTTGACTAATACCAAAAATTGTCTGTTTTTATCAAAACTAAATAGAACTCTGCTGTTTGCAAAGTAAAAACGGGGAAAGTCAAACTATTAGTTTATGACACCGTGCCAAAAGTGAAACGTGCTCCACAAAGGTGGAGAAAACCCACTTTCCAAGAAACGATTCTGTGGGTCCAATGCAATTATGACTCTGACGTGTGCTGCAAGCTCAAAGGTGGGTTAAAAACTTTAGCGTTCTGGGATGAATCTTCTTTCCGGAGGGATTAAATGTGTCTTACTTTCACCACATGTCAACAATTGACACTGCCACATTTAAGGTGCTGCGGATCTCTCCTTGTCCTCTAAATCTGGATTAAGACTTCTCTGTCCTCTCAAGCTAATGACGATCCACTCGTAAATCTGTAGAATAACCACAGAATCAAACACAGCATAAAATACTGCCATATAATTACAACTTTAGTTTTGTTAGTGTAGTTTTATGTTATTGAAAATAATTGAAAAAGAAAAGAAAACCTTTTTCTTTGGGAGGAAATATTTTGCTGATATCTGCAGGGTTGCACTATTATGTACTAATTCTACACAGGTATTATTTTTGGAGAAACAATTTATTTATTTTTTTTAGAAAAATACTCTAAAGGTATTTAAATGTGTTAGTCAAAGTTCTCAAACCTCAATCCTTATAATAAATGAGTCCACGAAAATCCACTCAGTGTCTTAGGCTCATTAACTGTTTTAATTACTGTTTAAAAAAGTATTTTGCTTTGCCTTTCAGTATCACTGCCAAGTGGCACACTTCAGCTTTAATATGATTGTAAAGTAATCCTATTAGAGGTCACCAAGTCATCAGTATAAAAGCTAAAGTCAGGCGCGATGCACCGGTCACCTCAGGAGGTTAGAAGCGACAGGAAAATCCACCAGCTGAGGACCTCCTTCTAGGATCAGAATGGCAGAGGAGTGGGGAAAGCAGGTGTTTGCTGCTAGGAGGCATCATGAAGATACAACCAGAGAGTCTTCCTTCGTTTACACAAACAGCAATAACACCAGAGGTACAGTCCTGTCTTTATTAAGCCCTAACATTTTAAATGATCAGACTATCGTTTGATTTCTGTGATGTTTATTTTTAGATCCTTTTGAGGGACCTAACTACCACATCGCTCCTCGATGGGTTTACAACCTTGCAACACTCTGGATGTTTTTTGTGGTCATTGCGTCAACCTTCACCAACGGTCTTGTCTTGGTGGCCACAGCAAAGTTTAAGAAACTCCGTCATCCTCTGAACTGGATCTTGGTCAATCTTGCAATTGCCGATCTTGCAGAGACACTGTTGGCCAGCACCATCAGTGTGTGCAACCAGTTCTTTGGATATTTCATCCTGGGACACCCCATGTGCATCTTTGAGGGCTATACTGTCTCCGTTTGTGGTGAGTGGTCACAGAACTGATGTTCACTGCTGGAAAGGAAGTGTTTGAAGACCATTTGTAATAAGAAACTTAGTTGGATATCAAGCTGTGACTCATGCATTGACCTTTTCTTGTCACAGGTATTGCTGGTCTGTGGTCCCTGACCGTCATCTCTTGGGAAAGATGGGTAGTCGTGTGCAAACCTTTTGGAAATGTCAAGTTTGATGGCAAATGGGCCACAGCTGGCATTGTTTTCACTTGGGTCTGGTCGGCAATATGGTGTGCCCCTCCCATATTTGGATGGAGCAGGTAAGCTGTTACTTCTTCACTTTGTTTTAGTTTGTACACCTTAATATCATTTTTTAATTATTGGGTAGAAAGTGAGCAGCTTTGGATGTTTAAATTTGAACCAAGTTGTAATTATTCTCTTGTATCAGGTTTTGGCCCCATGGACTGAAGACTTCCTGTGGTCCTGATGTCTTCAGTGGAAGTGATGACCCTGGAGTCCAGTCCTACATGATTGTCCTGATGCTTACATGTTGTATCCTTCCTCTGTTCATCATCATTGTGTGCTACTTGGCTGTATGGATGGCCATTCGTGCTGTAAGTTTCATCCCTCACTGTTTTATGTAATTTTTTTAATGTATAATCAAAGTCTGGTAAAACCTGACCCTCTTGATTGTGGACCACAGGTTGCCATGCAGCAGAAAGAATCTGAGTCCACCCAGAAAGCTGAGAAGGAAGTCTCCAGGATGGTGGTTGTCATGATTATCGCTTACTGTTTTTGTTGGGGACCTTACACCTTTTTCGCCTGTTTTGCTGCGGCTAATCCTGGATATGCCTTCCATCCACTGGCTGCTGCCATGCCTGCATACTTTGCCAAGAGCGCCACCATCTACAACCCAATCATCTATGTCTTCATGAACCGACAGGTAGGCAGAACAGTCTGATTGTCACTGTCATCAGCTAACCATGTTGAAAGTAACACTTTATATATTTAAGCTCCATTTGTGTTGTTTTTCTTTCAGTTCCGCTCATGCATCATGCAGCTCTTTGGCAAACAGGTGGATGATGGTTCTGAAGTGTCCACGTCAAAGACAGAGGTCTCCTCTGTGGCTCCTGCATAAACCTACATGTTCTCCATTTTCTGGAAAACAATGTATTGATCTGTACAGAAACTATTATTTATTTTTCTTCTGTTGATGAACATAGCTCTATGGCAAATGAAAAAAAAACACAAAAATTGTTTATGTGTAATGATTTATTATGTATGATTGTGTCACTGGTCTTTTTTGAATTCCATATAAATACAAGGCATTCTATAAATTTTGCTTTGTCTATTTAATTATTTTATATTTTGTAAAGAAACCTTTGAAATGTTTTGTCTTCAAAAGCCAAAAACCTGAATAACTTTTTACCATAATTAAAAATATCAATATACGGGTCCTTCTCAAAAAATTAGCATATTGTGATAAAGGTCATTATTTTCCATAATGTAATGATAAAAATGAAACGTTCATATATTTCAGATTCATTGCACACCAACTGAAATATTTCAGGTCTTTAATGGTTTTAATACTGATGATTATGGCATACAGCTCATGAAAACCCAAAATGCCTATCCCAAAAAATTAGCATATTTCATCCCACCAATGAAAGACTAGTGTTTTTATACAAAAAAATGCCAACCTTCAAATAATCATGTTCAGTTATGCACTCAATACTTGGTCGGGAATCCTTTTGCATGAATGACTGCTTCAATGCGGCGTGGCATGGAGGCAATCAGCTTGTGGCACTGCTGAGGTGTTATGGAGGCCCAGGATGCTTCGATAGCGGCCTTAAGCTCATCCAGAGTGTTGGGTCTTGCATCTCTCAACTTTCTCTTCACAATATCCCACAGGTTCTCTATGGGGTTCAGGTCAGGAGAGTTGGCAGGCCAATTGAGCACAGTAATACTATGGTCAGTAAACCATTTACCAGTGGTTTTGGCACTGTGAGCAGGTGCCAGGTCGTGCTGAAAAATGAAATCTTCATCTCCATAAAGCTTTTCAGCAGATGGAAGCATGAAGTGCTCCAAAATCTCCTGATAGCTAGCTGCATTGACCCTGCGCTTGATAAAACACAGTGGACCAACACCAGCAGATGACATGCCACCCCAGTGACTGTGGAAACTTGACACTGGACCTCAAGCAATGTGAATTCTGTGTCTCCTGTGGAAAATAATAATTGTTCTAAACTTTAAAAAACTCTTAATAAAAAGAAAACCAGAGACATTTCTCTTTTAGCTCAAAACAGAGCGCGAGGTTTATTCTTTCTGCAGAAAGGAGTTGCTGCCTGCACGAAGTCAGAGCAAGCACTGGATTCTTAAAGAGACAGTACATATATTTATACATGTTTCGTGCGTCACAATAACATTTTATCATGAAGGGAGGATAACGTTCCTCAGGCTGATATCATACACAAGTTCTTGTTATCAGTACGAGATGATGTTATTCTTCTTGTGGAGCCGTGCTTTGTAACCAGTCTTCTGTCCATGTGACTAGAACATTCTGATAAACATTTGTGGAGCTGGTATTTTTTAATT